ATAAGAAAAAGGTGACCCGTAAGCTGAGGAAGAACATCATCCTCCTGACCGAAGAGTCTGTTTGGCGTCTAAGGGAGGAGGATGAAGAAAAGGAAGAAGACGACTCCAGGCTGGTGGCCCGAGCGAGAATGAGCACCGAGGCCCCAAAGGCCACTGAATCGGTGAAGGCTGCAGAGACTCCGTCTCGAGATGAGGGGGTCTCGGGAAAAGACTTGGGCGAAGTCCCCGAGTCGTCGAGGATCAAAGATGCTTCCCACCACACTTAGCCAATGGTGGGTACGGCTATCGAGGCCCCTCGAGATGAGGAGAACGCCCCAAGTGATCCACTCGGAGCAATAGAAATTGGAGGCTCCTCACTGCTCCCCTCGTTTTTTGAGGAGATTATTCAAGAGGCTCGGGCCTTGAAGACCCTCTCCATCAAAGGAGCCCACGGAAGGGAGCATCCCTTCCACAATTACTTTACTGGGGTCGAAGATATTATTGGCCTGAGTGACTTGGAAGCCTCGAGGAAGGACTCGGGTGAGGCATCGAGCCTTTTCAATGAAGCGCAACAAACTCTAAATAGGGTAAGCCTTGACTCCCCTTGTTGGTATTACCTTTGTGTTTATTTTTCTCTTTCTAACTTCTTTTTTGTTTTTGGCATAGGCCTCAGTGCTTCATCGGGAAGCATTTTCTCGTTCTCGAGCCGAGCTGAGTCGGTACGAGGCCGACATTCAAAGGCTTACTGATGAAAGGAATGCCCTCAACCTTCTCGGGAAGCAAAAAGAAGAACAGATCAAGGACCTCCGAGCCGAGTTGGCCACGGCTCACAAACATCAGACATACCTAATCGAGCAAGTAATAAAATTCTTAAAAGCTCATGGGCTCGATTCGGGAACGGTGGCTAACATTTCAATCTCACAGCTGTAGTAGAATATCGAGAGGATCGAGCAATTTTGCGAGGAGGAAGATACAATAAAGACGGAGTCCTTAGGGTGAAAAAAAGGTATGGACCGCTTTGCTGCAGAAAAAGAAACTGCTCGAGCCCAATTATCATCGGTCGAAAGTCAGCTTCAAGGTATGAAGGAGAAGATCTTGACTCAAGCAAGGAAAATATAGGACTCGAGGCTCAGTTGGATTCCGAACTTGCCAAGGCTAAATCTGAAGACGAAAAGGCAAAGGCCGAGGCAGATGCGATCGTGGCTGTCTACCGAGCCGATGCTGAAGCCGCTTAAGTCCAAGCATGAGAGGCAGCCGAGACCGCTCAAACTCGAGCATATTGGATTACCGAACTTGCCAAATGCCAATCTCGGAGGGAAACCCTCGAGGAAATCCACGCTCGAGGTTTCGATCTTACCAACGAGATAGTAAAGGCTAGAGAGCACGAAGCCGAAGCTGGAGTGCTGACCACTTTAGATGAAGATGATGATGATGGCAGCAAAAGCGGGTCCGAGAATGGAGAGGACCTTGATGGAAAAGGAGCTGCCCCCGGAGAAGATCAGGAACCTTAGGATTTTTCACTTTTTCACTTTTGTATAGGATCTTGATCGGACCTTGTAAATATTCTCATATATATAAAGATCTTTTTCCTTTCTGACTTGTCTTTATTTCATTTATGCCTTGTGAAACTTCTGTTCATAAGTTCGAGGCTTTGGCAATTTGATCGAAGCCGAACTAGTGTAGGTTTTATAATCAAGTGAGAACTTGCTCGAACTCGGAGTAGGTGACCCTTAGGTTTTAATTGAGTGAGGATGATTTTTCAAAAATAAATTGGCCCTTTAGGCTTTTGAATTAAGCCGATATGGCCATAGCAAAAAGAATGGCTCTCTCCCCCTTTTCGGCTTGAAACGTTCATTGTTTAATCATATAAATTCTATTGTGCCTTAGTACGAAATAAAGGATTTGCTCGAGAGTTCGAACTGTTTCGTACCCATTAGGATTTTCAAGGGTCGATGTAATCGAGACCCTTTGTTTCGTAATGCCTTAGAATAAAATAAAGAATTTGTTCGAGAGTTCGAACGACTTTGTACCCATTAGGGTTTTTGAGGGTCGATATTATCGAGAGCCTTAGAAATTTAGCCGAGGGTAGCCTTTTTAACCGGTTTGTGAAAATATTAGAAGGCCTATTTAATAACGGAAATCGGACATCTCCGAACCGTGTTAATTTGGCCGTAGCCTTTAACTTGGGATTTGCCTTTTGAGCTTGTTCCCCTGTCATACTTTGAACTTGTTCAAAGTATCAGTCCCCGAGTAGGGTGGTCGTGGCCTATAAAATCGAGGATTTCCTTTTTAAGGTCTTACAATTTTGAGGTTTAGTAATTCGATCATGTCGATTGTTTGGACGGCTGTCCCCGAGTATCGGGTAAATTGTTTGAACTTCAATTGTGCTCGACCCTTAAGCCAGTTTCCACAATAGATCATAAATATAAAATTGTAAATTATAAATTTTTCTAAAGCATGGAATATCTGGTAAGGAAAAATACTTCTTTCAATAGATCATACATGCTTACATGTTTTGCCATTAAGATTCGAGTAATCTACATGGACACGGTTCATTTGAGTGTTTGGTCCTCTACAAAATTTACCTATCGAGACCCTGTCGACACAAAGTATTTTTCTTGTAACTATCCGAAGGTGATGCCCCCCAGTATTCGAGGTTGATTGTAAAGGATCCTCGGATACTGTTGAATTACTCTAAGTTAGCACGAACAATGGTTGCCACATTAAAAACCTCGCTGAAAAAAACCCGTTTAGGACAAAAATCGGTCTAAGGGAAAAAAGAGTACAACGCTTGCTTTCAGACCTAAGGATTCCGCATTTGAAGAATCCTTTAATGTCTCTGATTAAACACCTGCAAATGGTTAGTATAAAATATAAATAAAAATGGAGAAGGTCGTACCTTAGCAGTAATATCGTTTGAGGAGTGATATGTTCCAATTGTATGGTAATTATTCGTTGTTCACCATACCAAGTTTGTAGGATCTTTTTCTGATTATATCGAGGACCTGGTATGGTCCCTCCCAGTTTGGGCCAAGTTTTCCTTTGTTTGGGTCTCGAGTATTGAGGGTGACCTTCCTCAGAACTAAGTCCCTGATTTTGAAGTGTCGAAGATTGGCTCTTCGATTGTATTACCTTTCGATCCGTTGTTTCTGTGCGGCCATTCGAAAGGGGGCGGCTTCCCGTTTTTCATCTAGCAATTCGAGGCTTGTATTCATAGCCTCGTGATTTGAATCTTCCGTTGCATATCGAAACCTGACGCTGGATTCCCCGACTTTAACCGCGATCAGAGCTTCGGCGCCGTATACTAAAGAAAACGGCGTTGCCCCCTACTGGATTTTTACGTTGTTCGATACGCCCAAAGAACTTCGTGCAATATTTTCTCTCCATTTTCCTTTAGCGTCGTTCAATCTTTTCTTTAGATTTTGAATGATGGTTTTGTTTGTTGATTCGGCTTGCCGTTCCCACTAGGATGATATGGCGTCGACAAGATTCTTTTTATTTTGTGATCTTCGAGAAATTTTGTCACTTTGCTGCCGACGAACTGCTTTTCATTATCGCATACGATCTCGGCAGGCATCGCGAATCGACATATAATGTGGTCCCAGATGAAGTCTATGACTTCTTTCTCTCTAATTTTCTCGAAAGCATGTGCTTCAACCCACTTAGAGAAATAGTCAGTCATAAACAAAATAAATTTAGCTTTACTTGGGGTCGATGACAGAGGGCCGACGATATCCATTCCCCCTTCATGAATGGCCATGGGGATAATACTAAGTGGAGTTGCTCTCCGGGTTGGTGAATCATCGGCGCGTACCTTTGACATTTGTCACACTTTCAAACAAACTCTTTTGTATCTTTTTCCATATCGGCCCAATAGTATCCTACTCTGATGACTTTGTGAACCAATGATTCGGCACCGGAATGATTTCCACAAGTGCCCTCATGGATTTATCGTAGGACGTAGTCGGTATCTCCTGGTCTCAAACATATTGCCAATGGTCCATCGAACATCCTTCTATACAATATTCCGTCTTCGGCCAATGTAAATCGTGCGGCCTTTGTACGTAGAGCCCTCAATTCCCTAGGGTCCGATTGAAGCTTCCCGTTCTTTAGGTATTCGATATATTTGTTCCTCCAATCCCAGGTCAGGTTTGTGGAGTTGATTTCGGTGTGGCCATCTTCGATTACTGACCTTAAAAGTTGTACGACAGTCCCCGAGCTGATCTCATCGTCTTCGACTGATGACCCCAAATTTGCGAGGGCATCGGCCTCGCTTTTTGGTTCTCGAGGCACATGTTGTAGAGTCCATTCTTTAAACCGATGCAAAGTCACCTATAGTTTGTCCAAGTATCTCTGCATTCGATCTTCTCGAACCTCGAAGGTTCTGTTGACTTGGTTTACCACAAGCAAGTAGTCACATTTGCCCTCGATGACTTCTGCTCCCAAACCTTTAGCTAGCTCGAATGGGTAAAGAATACGTGTTAAGGCATAAAGAAATTTTTTACTAAGTCTTCTAAGCCGAAAAAGGGAAAAAATAGCCATCTTTTAGAGGCCATATCGCCCCAATCTAAAGAGCCTAAGGGCCAATACACTTAGATTTTGAGATTTTGTTCTCACTCAATTCAGACCTAAGGGTTCCACTATTCCGAGCTCAAATAAAACTGACTTGAATATAGCTCGAGAATTCATCATTATTTGATATAAAACCTTAAGGGGTCTGTTACTGTGAGTTCAAAACTTACTCGAACTCGGCTATAAAAATAGTACAATTATGGCTTCGATCAAGCCATCCGAAATCAAAATCCCGAACATATTGTTGAGCTTGGAGACTCGCCCTCGCTTAACTAAAAAACCTAAGGGTTTATTCTACTCTGAGTTCGAGTTATTGCTCACTCGATTATAGAGGCTACAACAACCCGATTGCAACAAAGTTTTCAAAAGCAAAGGCAAAACAGAATTTATCATAAATCAGAAATCGGAGACGAAAAGGAAAGAAAATGAATCTTTCATATATGCAAATTATTTACAAATACCACACATGGTCTTACACAAAAAAAAGGAGAATAAATCCTAAGTGCCTAGTCCGCCTCAGGAGCAGCATCTTCGGGAGCTTCATCTTCATCTCCTCCGCTCTCGGATCCACTCGTAGAGTCTTCATCATCGGAAAGTAAAGCTCCGACCTCGTCCTCCAAAACCTTCTCACTCTCGATATCAGTTGTGAGGTCGAAGCCATGAGCATGTACCTCCTCAAGAGTCTGTCTTCGAGACAGGGGCCTAGCATGCTCGGCAACACGGGACAATCTAACCTCCGCAGCGTCAGAAATTTCCTTAACCTGAGTGTTAGCGGCTTCAGCGTCGGCACGGTAGGAGGCCACGAGCGCCTCTGCCTCGGATGTGGCCCTTGCAAGCTCAACGGCCAACCGAGTCTCAAGCTCTTCAACCTTCTGGGCTCGGGCCAAGTTCTCCTCCTCCACACTTTGGAGTTGACGCTCTACCGAAGACAGTTGGGCCCGAACCACATGTTTCTCCGAGGCGAGACGGTCCATGTTCTACTTCTACCCCAAAGTCTCTGCATCTTTCATCTTGGCCTCCTCACGAAGCTGCTCAACTAATTCGGCCTTCTGCTGAACCTACAGGATCAAAGTGTTAGTCACCAATATCAAGTTAATACATAACAAGCTCCCAAAAATTTACATTACCCATTCAATGAGCTTGGTCTGATCTTGATGAGCTCTTGTCAGCTCGGTTTGAATACTCATGATCTCCTCTTCTTTTTGCACATAGAGGAGTTTGAGGGCGTCTCTCTCCTCCGTAAGCTTTTTGAGATCAGCCTCACATCGGGCCAGCTCAGCTCGGTATTTGGAGGACGCTTCTCGATGGAGCGCTGTAGCCTGTACAAAAAGGAAGGAAATCAGACTTAGAGAAATAAGAACAAACATAAACATGGTAACATGGGCTAAACCTCACTTGGTTCAGAAGCCGTTGAGCCTCATAGAAAATGAGTGATGCGTTCAGGTCGGGAACATCATCGACTCCCGTAAAGCAGCCGTAGAATATATCATACCCTTCAGGGGCTGTCCCCACATCGGGGGTCCCCATGGACCGGGCATCCCAAAACTGCCCCTCAAAGAACGTGGGGCCGGGCGGCGAATCATCAATGTTAATTGCATCGAGCGATTCACTTGGGGCATTCTCTTCTCTTTGAAGGGCTTCAGAACTAGACCCTTTGGGCCGGTTGCTCATCACGGTAGGAGGCATCATCAACACCCGATGACTCGGGGACTCTGCTCGGACCTTCCTCCGAGATTATCTCGGTCTGCGGCTGAACCTCCTCGACTGTCATAGGCTCAGTAGTTCTCGAAGCTTCGATGCCTCCCCTCTTCCAAGCCACCAGTAGGTAGTCGGCATCTTCTCCCTCCTCATCTTCATCTCGTAGTGTTTGGACTACATCAGCAGACAGAACGGCGGGATCAGTCTTCGACTTTCGAGCCCTACTTTTCTTGGGCTTTGGGGTATCTGGAGGTGAGGCCCTTCTCCTTTTGTTGTCTTTGGTTGGCTTCAGGACCTCCTCTTCCCCGGGGGGAGGCGGCCTCATGACGACATTGTCTCCAGGACCTGTATGAGAAGTAATCAAGTTAAAAAGAAGTATTTCACAGAAAAGCATCAAACACGGACAGAGAAACTTACCATGATTTTTGGCGTCCCATCGACCCTTAGCCAAATCGCGCCACGAGCGCTCAGCATACGAAAAGGTTGAAACCAGTTGTCGAACCCAACCTGCAAGGTCCGGGACTACAACAGGAAACCAGGGGGAAGCTGCACCATAAAGAAGAATATAGATGAGAAGAGGTAAAGGAAACATAACAAGTAATCAAACGATATCGGTGAGGTTCTACTTACGCTTCATGTTCCATTCTTCGGGGAATGGCATCTTCTCGGCGGGGATTAAGTCGGAGGTCCTGACTCGGACAAACCGGTCCATCCATCCTCGGTCCTTGTCCTCATCTATGCTTGAGAACAATATCTTCGTGGCCCAGCACTGAAGCCTTATCAGTCCGCCCCGATAAAGGCGGGGGCTGTATAGCCTAATGAGATGATCGAGGGTGAAAGAAATCCCCTCGACCTTGCTTGAGAAGAATCTGAGCAAAATGACAATACGCCAAAAGAGGGGTAGATTTGGCCTAGGGTTACCCGGTATTGGCGGCAGAAGTCGATTATGACAGGATCGACGGAACCCAATGTGAAAGGGTAAGTATACATACTTAAGAACCCTTTCACATGAGTGGTGATGTCCTCCTCGGGGGCAGGAATCACCACCTCTTTATTCTCCAAGTGGCAGTCTTTTTTCACCTGCTCGAGATCGCCTTCGGATATCGAACAGATGTATCTAGACATGGGCTCGCATCGGCCAGGAACCGAAGAGAGTTTTTCGACTTTAAAGTCGGAAGTAAGTTCACATGGCCCGGGGATACACTCTTCGATACGTGGCTCCACCAATATTTTATCATCGGCCGGCTGCGATGAGAAGGCCTTTTTCTCTTGAGGAACGGTCTTTTAATAAGAGATTGGCAAACTAAAACTGGCAAAGTTGATGAACTTGAAGAGAATAGAAGAGATTTTGAAGATTAGAAGAAGTTTGAAACTAAAGTTTGAGAAGATTATGAAGGTGGTCTATTTATAATAGCCACTTTGATGGTTTGAAAGCACTGGTGGCCGACCATCAACTGGCGTTAATTAATGACCTTGAAAACTGTGCAGACACGACGCTTCAATCGCTTCTATCACTTACGTCACGATGTTGACATCATAATTGATCGAGGTATTAAATCGAAGTCTCAAATTCGTTTCTTCTCGTTACATTCCAAAAGACGAGGGGACTATCTGTATACGGTCGAAATCAGGCATACCCGATTTCGTTGGCAGGGAAGTTTTTCCGAGGGTAACCTCATAATAGATCGAGATCGAGCTCGAAGATAGAACATCAAACCTGGAGATCGAAGTGTTCATTGAGATTGAGGCCAGCAACAATCGAGATCAAGCATGACTGACGTCGAGTAAGGCATAATAACGGAATGGCGAGATATCAGTAACCGGTCGAAGATTACGGTAAAAATCCCGGAACAGATCAAATCAAAGCGGTTATTAGTGCCAATCATGGGATCTACTTCCGTTATTAGAGTTGTATCTTATTTAGGATTTCTCTATTATATAAAGAGGGATCACATTCACTTGTAAGAGGAAGAATCATTATTCACTGATAAGAATATACATATACGCAGCTTTCTTTGTTTTACTTATTGTTCATCACTGTTTGTTCCATCCTCTACTGTTCTTATTAACTAACCTCGAGACTATCTCGAATTGAGGTCGAGGCATTGTTTGCAGACCGGTTTGATTTATTTTATTGTCCAATTTATCTATTTAATTCGTTGTTTATCAATTGGTACTGGGTTAAATCATATATCCTTAAAACCACAATATAAGTTTAATTATTACTCAATTTTTAGGGTAAACAAAAACCATAAAGTCTCATGTTCAAGTCCTAGTGAAGGTAAAAAATACTAGGTTATTTTTTCCCATTTATCCAAGACTTGGTGGATAGAATTATCTGATACTGTTGCTAGTGGGAGGTAGCAGATGCCTCATAAAATTAGTCGAGATGCATGCAAATTGGCCCGGACACTACAATTATAAAAAATATATATATATCTCAGCTGGCATAGGTGAGATTTGATATTTTTCAATGCAATAGTTTTGAGAAAAGAAAAAGCAGATTTCATTCTTTGATTAAGCATCTACATAAAATTAGAAGGAGACAATAACAAAAACTACTTTGACCAATAACAACAAAAGAAGCAAGGTACTTTCTTTTTACTCGCCAATCACACAATATATATCTGTCAGAGCCAAGTACCTTGTTTGCTACAATGGAGAATATTCTTATGCTAAAAATGCTACATTTTATTCACAGAGCGAACAACAATAACCTTCTGGATCAAATTTAACTTGTTAGCTGTAATGGGGATAATTCCTCTAACAAAATAGCTTTTTTTTAACTCATGAATCAAACACAATAGCTGAGAGAAAGCAAATTGACCTTGTCTGCTAAAACAAGGATAATTCCTACTATAAAATACTATTTTCTTTGCACCACGGATGATGAACTTCCCATCTACCTAAGTCTAAGCCTTTAAGTATTTGGTGGAATAATGAAGGTGCGCGAAAGTAGGCCCGACACCATCAATAAAAATAGGCCAAATACATAAGGGGTCACCTGAAGTTGGCATGACTTTTCAGTTTAGCACTTCAACTTAGACTTGTTCCTATTAGACACTCAAACATCAATAAATATGTATCTATTAAACATAAAACGTTGACATGTCATATTGCGTGAATAATTTCCCTTGAGCGCCTGAAGACCCAAATAAATTTTTATTTTTTATAAAAAATTTAGTTTTTAGATTTTCTTCACCAAAAATCCACCATAAACAGCCACTACTTAATATCTCCAATTCCGCTTTTTTACCGACACTCAGGAGAACAATTACAGAGACTCACTTTAAAAAAAAAAACTTTCAACTTACTCTTAAATCTTCTTGGTCATTGGCGCTGTCAAAGCTCTCATTGTCATTGATGAAACTGGAACCGTTGGCTATATTTTTCGATCAAACTCGGTAGTTATCTGATTTAATTTTTGAAGGAGCATAAAATTTTTAAGGTGATTCTGAAATGAGGAAATAAGAGTTGAAGAAAATGAGACAAAGTGTCGGAGGTGGTAGTGCATGATCGCCAAAGAATAAATTTTCCGACCAAGCTCGACGTTTTCCGATGGTCGCTGTTGGTCGATTTTTTTTTTGCTGCTCGCTGACTACTGGTGGTTCTTCTCTAATTGTAAGGGATATTTATATTGGGCCTTTTAAATTTGTCTATTGAATCAATACGAGAGATGAAGAGCTAAGGTTATAACAAATTTAAGATTTTTGTTTAGGTGAGTAAGTGGAATGGTGGCGGTGCTGATGCTCTGTGGAGGGGTTTGGTTGTGTAACAACAATGGTGAAGGAGGGAAAATTGGGATGCAACTAGGTGTAGCTGGGCGAAGAAGAAAATAGAGGGGGGAGAGGGGGTATTTTTTTGTCTCAAGACATTTAGTTAATAATTATTTTGGGTCCAAAAAAAATACATCGGGATATTTTAATTCCTTGTCCACTCTTTCCAGTATTTTTTGAAAAATAATAACACATGTTTTCACTTTATTCGTCGATTTGCCATGTCATCCACAAGTAGACTACACTCGCTTTATTTTTTCTACTGATAGTAAGTGAGGTGTTCAATAGATACATTATGAATATATTTTAAGTGTCTAATTGGAATAAGCCTATGTTGAAGTGCTAAACTGAAAAGTCATGCCAACTTTAGGTGCTATTTGGCCATAAAAATACCCTATTTTTACCCACCAATCAAACAAAATAAAAAATAACTTTGGAGGAATAAAAAATCTACCTTGTTAGAAGCAATAGGAACAATCTTGAGAGCTTGGGTTTCCTTATCAGCACCCCAAGCGAGTAAGTGCATAACTGTGCGGACGCTGCCTCGCCGGAGTAATTGGTTCCCAGAAAATCCACCTCCCCCCCCGTTCGGGCTCACCACAAGCTGTAACCGGTCGTTCTTTTTCACATACCTATATAACTGAGCGTTGCTGTTGTTGTTCCTTAACGGGTCATAAGCTGACGAGAAATAACCAACAATCGGAGATGCTTTATTAGGGTTTTCAGTGATGATTTCCATTGTCACATCAAAATGCTTTTCTTTCTTTTTCTTCTTCTTATCGGATTTTACTTTGTCAATTTCTTGATGTTGGGAGTACTGTGTAGTATCATATTTGCTTTCTGCTTCTTCATTGGGGGGTTTGCAAGGGCTAGAGTTTTGGTACTCTGGCCATGGTTGTTCAGGGAAACTGGAATGAGAGGAATGTAAGCATAAACCATTAACATGGGTGTGCATTATTGGATTAAACCATAAACCCAATGAAACTTTATTACTCCCTGTTATACATAGGGGTAGGGAAGAGAAATTTATTTAAGCTCAAATGTGATAATAGGCTAAATCAATTAAATTTATATGATAGAGGTCCACAAGCAATTGATTCAATCCAATTAAGTTAATTTTTACCAATAAGAACAAAGCAATGCAAAAAAGAAGTCAAGAGATTTTTCTTGATAAAAGGAAATCTGTAGTTTATCGTGATGTTTAGAACAATTGAATCAGTAGTAATTTTAATAAAGTAATAATATGAATGAGTTATAATCTTAGGGGTAAGGGAGTATTAATAGTGTCAACCTAGTGTAATCACTCCTCATATCTCGCCTAGTTGTTATGCCTATTATCTGAAATAAGTATAAATTTTGTCAATTACGATTATTTGGGGCGTAAGTGAGGTCGTGTTTAATGAGAATCCCGCTTTCCTCGAAGTTAGTTCATGGTGGACGCTCGTGTTCACTCGGAAGGTGGTTCTGGATCTTCCTTGGTTCAATTTGTGCTATGCAACTTCAGGGGTAACTTTTCGGATATACAATCAACTCTTCGGATCTTCAATCTTTGACGGAAGTAACCATGACTGAAGTGATGTTGACTAAAGAATTCATGCCAGGTGACGCTCTCTTTACTAGTATCACGATCCAAAATCCCACCAACAATAATATGATATAATTATTAAGCCATTAACTGATTCATAACTTAAATAATAAGGCGAAATAAGTCTCACATCAATATCATAAATACATGAATTCCCGACAAGTTCTAAATATCACCATAACTGTCTCACAAACTCTCCCCAAGACCTAGTGTCAAAACAACATCATGAGAATCTATCAAGAGTAAGCAATCTCATTCGAATAACAACATCTGTCCGAAAAAGAGAATACATAGACAGATACAAATACGTACGGAAGGGAGACTCATGTGTTGCGGATCAGATCAAGTAAAGCATCTCACCACAAAATCTCTAACAAATACTCCTACTCAGCTCAACGGGTACCCCTAGTACCAGCCTCAGATCATGCACAAAATTATGCAGAAGTGTAATATGAGTACAAAATTATTGTAGTCAGTAAATATCAAGTCTAGCCTCTAAGAAGTAGTGACGAGGGGTCGATACTGACATTTAATAACAATCTAATAAGTAAGTGAAAACATAACCTGATAATGGAATAAAGCATGATATCATCAATCAAATCCACCAGTAAAACACATTAAATCTAGAATGTAGACATGCTTTTTAGACAAGAGATAGAATACAATATCAGTTATCTCAATTCTTTTAATAATCTTGAGGTGAGTCAGTCAACCATATATATATATATATATATATATATATAGACTTTTAAATAAGTTTGTTGCGCCGTGCAATCCGATCCCCCAATATAGACTTTTAACAAGTCTGTTGAGGCATGCAACCCGATCCTCCAATATGGACTTTTTAGTAAGTCTGTTGTGGCGTGCAACCCGATCCTCCAATATATGGACTTTTTAAATAGTCTATTGCAGTGTGCAACCCGATCCCCCAATATATTCATTTCAATCAATTCTGTTGCGTCGTGCAACCCGCTCCTCTAATATATTCATTTACCAATTCTTATAGAAGAAATTGCCCCAATAAATGTAATAATTAATATAAAATTTTAAGCCAACAAGCATAGAATAATTATAATTTAAGTATAAAAAAAAAAAANATATATATATATATATATATGAGCCATTGCATGAGTCTAGGATGCGAATGCATGCCCACGATCCGATACCAACATATATAAGAGCCACTACATGAGTCTAGGCTGCAAATGCATGCTCATAATCCATTCTTAATACCTCACTGCACAAACCATATACTGACACTGGACAAGTGTCCAAACTAGCACTAATTTGGGTTCCTGCACTCACAGGGCCCAAAGTAACATGGGTAATCACCTAACTCCGGAGGGACGGAACCGTATCTAAGTACTGTTGCAGCGTGCA